TAGAGTATGTATGGCACAGCACTGGAGCATCAATTAACCACTCCAAAATAGTAGAGTATGTATGGCACAGCACTGGAGCATCAATTAACCACTCCTTGAAACATGAAAAACTTCAAGTTTCTCTAAACATTTATTCATCAGCGACGGTTGTTTTTGTGGACTATTGAGAATGTAGGCTACTTCAACTCTGCCTGGCCTGTCAGGGATAACCCAGGATATGTCTAGTGTAGTTTAGTTTAGTATAGTCTATAAAATATAATAAAGTTTAGTTTTAGACCAGTTTTACAACAATGGCAACACAATTAGGTCATATAAGTTTCAGAGATTAGAAGTGTTACTTGAGAGAACATAATATATGCAAAGTAAAGAAGAGAGGGATAATGGCGATAGATGCTTGATAGGAAAGAAGGAGGAAACCACACTAAAGTACCCGCCAACCACCCATCCAGGCTGTGTAGAAAAGATCCTAGCAGAAAGGTGAAGACACTGAACTAAATAAATAAAATAAGAACATCTTCCCCTTGAGAGAACCAAACTCTTCTTTTGCATGAAAGATGAAGAATGTCCCCATTACGCAACCAACACGAAGCTTCCACTTACCTCATCAAACTGTGAGTCAGCCCTGCGTCTACCCGGCAATTTCATGAATTCGTTGGGGACGGCGTACCCCTCTGCATCAATCACTGCCTCATACTGCGACTCGTAGGTGCTCTGCATCATCGTGGTCATGTCCTCCGTCTCATCAAGGTTCAGAGAACTGCCTTGGCTCGAATGAATACATTCCGAACTAAAACTTTTCCGTAGCGGGAATCTCTGCAGCGGTCGCTCGCCGTCGGGGGCCGGAGGAAGTTTGTCATTGGGCTGTCTCTGCTGGTACTGGAACCCTGGAGTGTGTGACAGCTGGCGGCTGGCCATCTGGCGGGTCTGGGGCTGAAATCTCCTCGGGGACACTGGAATGACGATGGGTCCGTCACCGTGTGCCGGAGAGAACTGAGTGACAGGACGTGACTTGAGGTGGTGAGCGGGGGGCAACGGAGGCGGAGCTCCTCCTGAGTTCGGCCGTCGCCGCGGGGGAGGGGGGCGGGACGGAGGGTGTTGATGACGGAGAACAACAGTTTGATCTTTTGATGATGATGAGGACACGGGAGGAGAAGATGATAGGGGAGGTGACTCTGCCTTCTGCTGCTGCATTTTGGATATCCTGTCCTTCACAGAGAGGTACTCGACCTCCTCAGAAGTATCACTGACTTTTGAGTCAGGTTCCACCACCTGGACTTTTTTAACGTTTGACAACTGCTCCTTGCCTGAGTCAGAAGACGAGGAAGTGTCCAGATTTTGTGAAAGTTTCACTTTTAAATAACTGTCGTGAGCATGCGTCCTGGGGGGCTTGGGTGGGGGTGGGGCAGGTGTTGACTTGGAGGGAGAATCTGACAGATTGCTAGCGCCCTGAGCTTTTGATCTCCTCAAGGCTCCAGACTCATTCCCACTCTCCACATTAGAAGAAGTTCTGTGGACGGGGGAGTCTTTTTTGGGAGGAGGAAGACTTGGTAGAGGAGGTTTTATCGGTGCTGCACTCTTAGCTGGGCTGCCTGGAGTAGATGAAGGGGGTAAAAGAGCTGAAGAAGGGGGCTTAGCTTTTTTCACCTTGTCCACTAGAGGGTTTTTGCTCAAATCCCACGGAGGATCGTAAATAGCTTCCAAGCCAGAATTAGAGCCAGCGTTTGTATTTTCATCTTGCACTGGAGCTTTCGTTATACGTGCTACAGGTTTTTGTTGCTGCTGCTGCTGCTGCTGGAATTCTTTCGCCGTTCTCATACTGAACTGTCTTTTCACCGACTCTGATTTTACAGGAAGAGCAGGTTTTTCTCCCTTGGGACTATCGAAGAGCTTTGTTCTGCCCGCCACACTAACCCCTGACCCTGAACTTCCACCATTTTCATCTTCCGGTGAAATACATGCAACAGTCTTTCTCCTCTCCCCAGAATTTTTTCTCACAGCTTCTCTCCTGTGAATCTGAACCTCTTCAGAATCAAATTTTACTTTCTTTGTGTCTGTTTCATTCTTCCTGTGCTTGTTGACTTTTGCGTAAGGCTCAGATACCACAGGGTCTGCTCTTGCCTTGGATTCAAAGCCACCATACACCGGATTATCTAGCACAACTGCAGCATCTCCATAACTTTGACCTCGTCTGTGCCCCGGCTTTGGGAAACCATGAATCGGTGATGCCTTAGGGATGCTCTGAGGTTGAGAGATTGCACTATTGGACACATTTGTTTCCTCATCTTTGACCGCCCCTCTGTTATCCATCAGCGCGGTGATCCTCCGAGATATGGTAGGACTGAGTCGCCGAGGATCTTTGGCAGCCGTCAAACGATTAACATCCAGGTTTTTGTCAGATGCAGTGCCTAAGGAAAAAAAAAGGAAAGAATCAGACATATAGCTAAACTTTCAGGTAAATTTTAGAAACATTATCTTTCGTCTTTTCCAGTAGAAAGGTAGAGGATCATCTACCCATGTTTGAATTTACTGTGACATGTCATCAGTGCAACATATCTGCTTTATCTCTTTTTTCTCTATTCTGACCAGCGCGCTAAGTTATCTTATTTCAAACAGACCTCTTGCATTGAGTATAGCACCATACAAAAGTACTTTTATAAGATGAGGCCCCTTAATTAATATAATAAAAGCATACAAAAATTCAGAAATGATTGTCCAAGACAGCCACCTAATGTCGAGGAGAAACGTAGTTGTCTTAGACAGATGGAATCTTGGTCAGTGTCGTTATGATAAAAAACAAAACACAAGGTGGGAAATGGAAAGTGGTCATTTATACAGGAAGTGACTACATTTGTACAGGTGACGGTCTTTAGTTAGACAGGTGGCCCTTACAGCAGGTTCAACTCTACCTTTATTAGATGTCCCTCCTGTTTCCCTGAGTTGGGAGACATTTGCGGCCATCTGCGCTGCTACGGCGGCCTGAGGTTGTGACGCAGGCCTTTGTGGAGGCGGCACCTTTGGCCTGGCCTGACTGGACTTGGGCCTACATGAGGGGGCTGGGGGGCGAGACGGAGGGCTAGGCTTATCTCCATTACTATCTGCAAAATCAAATGAAAAAATTACTTTTCACTTCTTTTTCTCTAAATGTAAAGCTACAAAGTGTCATTACACCCAAAAAAGAAAAATAAATTGTCTTGATTTTGCCACAGTGTGCAGACTTTTTTTGCAAACTATACCTTTATTTAAAACATAAACTGTAAAACTCACCTCAGGAATGTATTTGATTAATGTTTAGTATTGACCTGGCAAAAACTTTGAGTGAAAAGGAGCCTTCTTAATAAGTGGTAAGCCCACATGAAGTGTTTGAAAGGTGGTGATTTTAAGTCTTAGAGATCATTTCCATATTGGACTATACATAATGCTGCTTGAACACATGATACCTACAGACTAAATTTAAGTCCATGATAGGTCACGTAGAGACAAAGTTAAAAAACTTCAACCGTAAAAAGTATCTTTATAAAACTGACATGGAGGTTTAAAACGTCAACAAAAAATAAAATGGAGTTTATTACCTTCTTCAAAAAGCTTCTTGATATTGCTCAATTTCCCCGGCGGAAGATGACGGATGCTCCCCTCGTGGTTTGGGGAGGACATAGCCTGTGATCTTACATGGGGGTCTTTCCACTGATATGACTCTTGAGGGCTCCTGTGTAAAACGGTAGGCCCAAACAAAAGACAGACAAGATGTCACAAGTAGCAGTCAATTTGCCTCACACAGCATCAATAAATTTTAATCTCTTATATTGTACTATCAAACACAGGCATTATGAACAGCTTTCTCTGTTTGTTATTCTAAGACAAGATACTGTGCAAAACACTGTTAAACTGTAATAACCTTGCTTTATAACGTAACCCTACTTTAACATTCTTCATAAAAATCTAAAAACCACAAAATAAGAACATGCCAAGACAAATTTGAGAATACAAAATGAGGTGCAGTAATTATTTAAGGGTAAGACAGATTTTTAAAAAAAATCAAAGTTGAAATAATTTCTAGACTAGATTCTAGATCTAGAATCTACCTATTATGACAGGTTTTCATGATGTTTCTTCACAAATGTCTTAGCTAATTTTGACGACACATTTAAAAAGCATTACTTGAATTTTAAACAAACATGATGTCTTCTGCTAGATAATTCAACATGTCAATGGGCAATGGGGGTGGGGGGGGGGGGTCATTTCAATCCAACTCCTGACCTGAAACACATTTCATAAACCTCAGAATTACATCCACTATTATTGTGAACCACCAATTATCACCCATAGTGGCCATAGCCACAGGCTTCCCTAACTAATGGTTTAAGACTCTAATAATATTTATGGGGCATGATTCATTATAACACTGTGGAACAGTCCAGTTCAGTCAGCCTAGTAAAACAAGACTTGGAAAAAGAAAAAGATGGGATGGGTGGAGCTCCTCTCACTGTCTCTAAAAACTGCAATGTAGGCTGTAGGCCTATTCGTTGTAATATCAGAACTGATCTGATACTTACTGCAGATGTGGTGATTACTGCAAGTATAGGCCTAGTATTAGATGTTTGTAGATTCGAGTGACTCACTATCAGTCAGTTAAGTGCCATATATAGATTAGATCTATATCTAGATCTAGATCTAGAATTTCTAGATCTAGACGTCTAGATCTATATATACTTACTCCTGTCTCTGTCACTGTTGGTCAGTGAACTGTTCATCATTAGTGACATTAGTCACTCAATGTTTCAACATTTCTCGCCTTCGCTACAGCCGCTCAAGACGAAGAAAAATGTATTGCACAAGTACACTGACCTTTTTAACCCCTTGCAAAACTCAGAATATCTTGGTTCCTCGTAACATCAGCGGGAAAAAAGGTCAAGCAGAACACCCCTGTGCTGACAACAATCACTGTCACCCAACCACGGTTGTCGAGACTCCAGTCAGCGTCGAGACTAGGCCTAGGCTAGGCTATTGACTTGACTTCCTGAATCAGTGGTTAGGGTTACTCCCCCTGCGATCATATCAACAACAAAGAGTTATCTCCCAACCTCTTCCTTTTCCGGAAACTCCGTGAGCGAAAATGGTGAGAAATTTGTCTTTTGGTGCCCAAAATATCCCGTTAAATCATCATTTTACAAACGGCATCAGTTATTTGTTGATGTATAGCGGACATTTACATGTCTTACATAGCTGATACAAAAGTACAGGTTCAATGTTATGGGTTAGATCATGTCAAATGCATGACTTTAGTTGCGGCTGATGTGGATGGACATTGTCCCTGGCAGAATAAACTAACAAACGTTATTGTTTTTCCTCGATTTTACAAAAAAATGATTCGTAGGTCAGAGACTGAAGGCTCAATGACAAGAAAACCTGATTGTTAGATCCAGGTCCAGTCTGTGTTTAGGCAAAGTAGCCTTGTGACGAAACATGGGCCTGGAAAAATGGTCCTGGCAATTGACTTCATTCAATTGCTCTCCCACTCCCGTTACTTTCCATGATTCCATGTCCGTGGCAAAGTCTGTCAATTTTGGACCATCCGGTGACTGGTAAATACATTTGTTGCATGACCAAATTGTTCCACCAGTTATCCCTTTCGTCACAATCAGTTTAGATGTCGCATTTGCTCTTGAATCTTGAGTAGCATAAGTGGGTGGTGTGGGCTAATCTAGAATAGAAAGTGACTGACAGCATGGTTTTTCATTTCGGGTGATTTTCATCTATAGTATAGTAGAAAATATCTAGAGTCTAGATCTAGATATCTAGATCAAAATCTAGAAATCTAATCATGGTAAGATTGAAGAATACCGGACCAGCGGACTGACTTTTGCCTAATCTAGATCTATGTCTCAACCTTAGCCTTAGCCTGAGGCTAGGAATTCATAATTTTCCTGTTTTTAATATCTCTCAATGGAGAATCTCGGACCAGTAGATGTATTCATAAAAATTTTGTCAGGGGGGCCCCACCTACCCCACTTTCTCGCGCAATAATGTACGGGTGGTCCGGTATTCTTCAATCGGTAAATTTTTACTTTCACTCCCGCACACAGATGCACTGTTTCAGGGGTCAAACTGCTGTACTGTTTGCTGCAGATCACACATAAAGCCACTAAAACTGTCGCAAAGCAATTATTTTCAAGACAATTTCAAATCTAACTGTAAAATATCAAACTATGGGTAAAAACGGGGGCATGCCCCCCTGTAACCCCCCAGATTTTCTTTTACCCCAGTGGGGCAGGCCCTCCTGGAACCCCCCAATTGGTCCAAAGTATGTCTATCTCGGTTAAAAACAATCAAATATTTCAAAAACTATTAATTTGCGACGGAAATGAAGTTGATATTCGTGTTCAGCGCATCAATATTTAGTACAAAATAGACAATTGGTAGCTGAGTGTGGGACGGGAGGGAAACGGAAAGTAAAAAAATACCCTTCAATCTTCCCCTAATCATAAGCTTGGATTTACTGTTGCAAACTGATACTGTGGAGAATATTGGTACTGTCCCATCAGTCGAACAACCCAGCTACCTTTGCCTTCAGATGACTCAAGATCCAGGGAGGACTTATCGGGGAGGACTTCTGTAACGAGCGACCACTATTACTATGAGGCAGAGTAGAACAGATGGGTAGGGGTGGGATTTAAGTTTGGGGTAGATATCTAGATCTAGAATCTAGGTGAGTTTGTGGGCGCTTTTTCTGTAGTTCCCACCCCGCAATTATTGGCGGGTTTTGGCCCCAAGAGTAGGGGGGAGCCCCCCTGACTCTACAAAAATAGGGTGGGGGGTTTCAGGGAGGTCATGCCCCCCTGAATTTTACCATAACATTTGATGTTTTGCAGTTGTTAGGTTTGACCTTAGCTCGCTGTGCATCAAACGTATAGATCTAGATATCTAGGCTCAAATAATAAGGGGGGTAGGAACTACCGAAAAAGCACCAGTTTGTGTTTGTTGGAGTAGTGCTCGTTACGGAAGTCCTTCCGCTCAGCCTAGCCTAGATCTAGTGAATAGTCAGAAAAGGCAATCATGGGGTCTGCATGCATCATGTTTTATTCACATTATTTGATGGATTCAGAAATAATTATGAACTGCTTTCTTAAAAGAGAAAGGTTGGATTTTGTCAGTTAGTGAGTGATTACAAACTAGAATCTATTCGGAATTGTAGCCTATCCATAGGCGTGCCATAGCAGGTTAGGCCTACATTTTGCAGTTTTGAGTACATTAAACTACAACTACATCGAGTACCCCGCCTAGCACACCAAGGTAGGCACTTGGATAAAAATTTCAAAGCTTTCAAATTGCTTTAAAAACAATACCAATGCAAAGAGCTCAGTGACACGATTCCAACGCTACCTTAGTTATTGCTCTATGTTGAACCGTTTTTGAGATATTGCATTTTAAAGATCTTTTCGAGGGGATAACATCTATATAGAAAAAAAAGGCAATTTTTGTGATCGAAACAGCAAGGACAATAAGGGAAATGTAAGCTGCTTCAATATGCTGCTGCGTACATGCTAAAACCAAACATTTTCTGAAACCTTGTGATATTGAGGACAAAATAACAGTCAGACGATATTTTTAAAATATGTCGTGGTGGGTAATATTGGGTAATATTATGTAACACTGTGTTGTGTAACGTGACCGCATCGTCCTGCGGTCAATATATTTTGCCATAACTTTCTTATAAATTAAGCTACATCAATAATTGAGGTATCATTTTGAAGGTCTTTTTAAGGCCTTTCTTTTGGAACATCTACATATCAAATATCAGTAGAATTAACAAAAAACTGATTAAAAAATATAATATATTTTAACAAAACAGCTGGTCGCCTAAAATAAGATGAGCATAGAAGTTTTTAAAGTTAACATTTGTGTCTACAGCTGCTGCAAACTAGTGTTTTTTAGTCTACCTTAATTCATGATAATACTGTTTTTTAAATTCATTTTGCATGTTATTGTTAGAATGTTTCTTTCATGTTTTAATTTGTCATGTAAATGATCAATTACTCTGTCTTTATCTTTGATTTCTCTTTTACATCTTTAACTCATGAGATTGCCCTGTAAGTTAAACAATAGTCTCTTCTAATTTTATTACTTCAGTTTGTTCAGCAAGTTTTTCATTATATTTTTATTGTGTTTATTTAAATGTTCAACTTCTTCAAAGACAATTAGTTGTGAAATATGACATGTTTTTTGAAGCACGCAATTGTGTCACAATACTTATTTATTCTTTCTTTATTTCTGGCAATTGTTTAGTTCACCCAGTCTGCCAACTTGATATTGTTAAATTAATGTCAATTTTTTTTTTCTTGTCTGCAACAAATGCTTTCTTAAGTGCTCAATTTTTTTGCAACTTGTTCAAACAAGTTTTTCTGTGAATTCGACCAACTCCGCAAGCATTTCTGGATTTTAATTAAAGTCAGGATTTATTCTGGTGAGCTGTCAATAAATCCAATGGAACAGTGGCAGGTTGTGATCAGGGGCTGTGGAAAGAAAAAAAAAAGCAAAGCAATGAATTCATCAATGAAGTAAATAAATTCATTTGTGAGCAGTGGATGGAAATTTGACATTTTCACACTACAACTCTAGTAAAGGGAGAGTGTAGATGACTAGACAAGAGAAAAAACATCTTCTAATAAACATGTATCTTAAAACAAACTGGACAAAGTACATGAAAATTTAAAGAGATATTTAAATAACAAGCACACACAAAAACAATTAAGAAGAAAAAATATTTAAAGACAATATATAAGCACACAAAAGAAGTAAAAACTTGCGTGAAATCGATGGTCTAACAGTGAGAGTAACACAGAAACAAAACAAGGCCAAGGCTGTTACATTTCCCTCCCCCCACCCAAGACTCCTTACTGATTGTTACATGGTGCAAATTCATAAAAATTATACAACAGTGATACATATTACATTCCAAAATTTAAAATGAATCATATCTTCTACTATAAAACATTCTTCAATGCCGTTTAAGAGGTAATAAACGCCAACAATACACGTTAGCGTGGGTTAAGTTCGCTTTCCGCAATGGCCGCCATGACCTCCCGGTTCACGCTCAGCAGCGCGATCGATAATAGGTCATGCCCATTCATGGAGAGTGACCTATTTAAATTAGGGCTCACACGCTTATGCCTCAACGTACAACATTGAAATTAACAAATAAAAGAGATAAAAGGTTGAAGAAAAGACTGTGAGGAGTACCTAAAAAAAAAAAGATATACTCTTTAAATATAAAGGCTTGAACTTACCTTATTTTTAACTCCTTGTAACTCCGAACACACACAACCGATCCCGAAGTGGAAAACGCCATAATACGCGCCTTTCTTTCCTCTTTAATTTGATAGGCGGAAGTAATCCATAAATTGAAAAGAACACTATAAACGAAACAAAACAAATAGGTACCCCCCTCACGGGGCCCGATTTCTGACACAAAACGCGGCGGCCGCAGGTGAACGAAAATCTCGGGCCGCGCGGGCCGATATCCAAGTGCCTAACCAAGGTGATTTGCCCAAATAGCCTCCTATAGATCAGATGACGTATGTATTTCCGCCATTTACTTTTGTCGTCTACCGGGGTATCCCCCATGACTCTTGGGTTACCTTTAGTAACTGTTGACTTGATAAATTTAGATCTTGATCTCGACGTGTTGTTTTGTTTTTTTTTATTAATTTATCTTTTATAAACAATCCCAGCAATTCTCGATCATTTACCTTCTCCTCTATCTAAGTTGTACACAAACGCACACATGCGTGCGCACACACCCCAAGCAGTCAGCGGTGAAACCTAGGTATGTGGCCCATCATGCGCTTTGCAGCAAAGCAGGCTGCCACGGTGAGATCTAGATCTAGTCAACTGGTGAGGGAAACCCCGGAGGACAACAAAAATAGAAGGCGGAAATACGTCATCTATATTTAGGCCAATCACAGAGGTGTGCTTGGTGCTTGCTGTAGCTTCATGTGATTTTTGCTTCACATGATAGAGTAATAAAATGCTCTTCTATTACCAATTAACTCACATTATTTTTTTTTATTTTTTTTTTTTCAGACCACTAAACTGAAGAAGACCAGGAAGCTGCGTGGTCACGTAAGCCACGGCCATGGCCGTATTGGTAAGTTTGTTACCTTTGTTCGTTTTTATTGTTGGCTTGCTTTTTTTTTTTAATCTGAGTGTAAGGAGCCTTGGGGCGGTGCCACTGACTGAAGTGTCTTTAGGCCATTCTCGAAGGGGGGACATTTCTCGTTCTAATGCACAGTAGAATTGTAAATGGGCTGATCCAACGTCATGGTCGTAACTGTGCCTGAACTACAACAGTACAAGGGAACTGCTGCTTTTTCTTTCCTAATCCTTTCTATCGTCATTTCCTCTACTTCTTCTGTATGTTTGTCACACTCTTGTGGTCCGCTATTTCGGGGGTGCCTTGATAGTCGAAGCATTTAACCCAAATGGCCGCTGGATCGGAAAAGTAAAGTATAGTCAAAGCAGACTTTGTGCTATTGAAGCTAGAGAGGTGAGCAGAGTAAGTCTGATTCCCTGTAAGGACTTCACTGTTGACATCCACCCCTTGGCACTCATATGACCGTATGCAGTTTCGAGCGCCGTAAAACCTCTACTAAAACAAACGACTAGAAGTGTAAGGAGCAAAATTAAAGTTGTAACCTTGATTTCGGGAACTTCATGCAGTGCCAGGGAATTTCTCATTGAGATTTCTTGGGGGGGGGGGGGGGGGGGAATTACGGGCCTCAAGTGGAGGGTTCCAAGGTTTGACTGGGGGGGGGGGGTTGTGAAATTTGTTCGTGGTAAAAGGGAATTTCTTTGTAAATGGCTTCATGTTAAAACAGTTTACTGTATTTCAAATGGCATACACCATTTTGAATTGTTTCAATGTGTCTTGAACAAGCACCAACTCAGAACTGTCTCTTTCTCTGCTGTATAATTCTCTTCATATTGTGTGAATGAAATCGCAATGTGCATCACTAAGATCATATTGTTTGGAGTGCGAAGCAGCATAATCTTTTGCCCCCCAAAATATGATCGAAGACTTTGTAGCAGTTGTTCAGATTCTGTTTTTTCTTTATTTTTAGTAGGAATGCCTGTTGTATTATTATTTTTTATCGTGCTATGGGATGTAGGCGAATTAACTAACTTGTGACAGAAATATGCTCAATTTCTTTGATGAATGTGGTAAAAAGTGTGATGGATTATATTTGTTTTGTGTTGTTGTTGTTTTTGGGTTTTTTATTCGAAATTTTTATCTTCCTAACAGGCAAACACAGGAAGCATCCTGGAGGTCGCGGTAACGCTGGTGGACAGCATCACCACAGAATCAACTTTGACAAATAGTAAGTATAGTATAAAACGTGTCCTTGTTACTGCTATTGGGGGGGGGGGGGGGGTTTGCATGTTTGCAGGCCTGTCGAGGGGGGGGGCAATGACCCGGGGGTTGGGGGGGCCCGCAAGCACGCGGAAAAGAGAGAGAGAGCGTATGTTGGTATGTAATCCATATGCTACAGTAAAGTGATTCTATATGCCTATGCACACTGTATTTGTTGGGTTATTAGATTGCAGGTGAGGGGGGAGGAGGGGCCCGAAGGTGATTGCTGCCCCAGGGCCCGACCTGGCTCTCGGCGGCCCTGCATGTTTGACGTACAGGCACACACCCTGGGATGTTTTATAATGATATAATGAGGGCTGGAACAGCTTGTTTTTGGCTGGAAATTCGAAAAGTTTTTTTTTTCTGTCCATGTGTGTCTGTGCTTAGAATATGGTTGCTTGTTAATCGATCTTTTCTTGTGTTGAGCGTAGCTTTTTGTAGATTTCTACATTGCAAAGTTAGTAATTTTTTGTGTGCATTAGTAAATAGCCTAATAAATTGTGTGAACGTTGTATGGACTAAGGAAGTTTATTGTGGTTTGATTTGAAAATCATAGCTGTTAACATTTATGAGGGGTATTCTGCTAAGTTTGTCCCTTTTCTAAGTGCATGTCATATGTTCCAGGTGAAAGTTATTGCTATTGGATGGTTGGCGGGTGCTCTGGTGTGATTTGCTCGGGACTTCTTTCCTGTCAAACATCTATCGTCCTTATCACTCCTCCTTTTTTTGTGTTTGTTGCTCTTTTGTAATACCTCTAATCTTCCGCGCTTATGACCTTATTGTGTTGCAAGTGCTGTAACTCTTACTAAGTGGGTGGTTGGCAGGTGCTCTGGTGTGGTTTGCTCCTTCTTTCCTATCAAAACATCTATCGTCTTTATCTCCCCTCCTTCTTTTTTGTGTTTGTTACTCTCTTGTAACACCTCTAATCTTCGGCACTTATATGACCTTATTGTGTTGCAAGTGCCGTAAAACTCTTACTAAAACTAAAAACGAAAAGTGATTGCTATTGTGCTGACTCACAGTAAGAGATTATGCACACAATAATGTAGCAGTTTGAATTGTTTGTATTACACCATGTGATCAAATATTTTTTTTTTTTAAATTTTCTCCTTCCCCCAGCCATCCTGGTTACTTTGGTAAAGTGGGCATGAGGTATTTCCACAAGACCCAGAACAAGTTCTTCTGTCCGTCCGTCAACCTGGACAAGCTGTGGTCGCTGCTCAGTGAACAGTCTCGGGACAAGTACCTCCTGGCCAAACCCTCTGAGAAGGCTCCCGTTATTGATGTTGTCCAAGCCGTAAGTATTGTTTTACCTAACCAAGTGTATACAGACCCGGTAACCGGGAACAAAGTCACGAAGTGTACAGACCCGGTTGGGGAACTCTTTTGTGATTTCGGGATGTTTCAGACCTCAGACCCGGTAGAATTCTTTTGTGTGTGTGTGAGAGAGAGGGGGGGGGGGGTGCTAGCATAATGTATATGACATGCCCCAGTTGGCAGGAGGGAACGAGAGAAAGATAGAGTGGGAAATAGGTGGGGACAAAGAAATACAGAGACAAACAAAGAAAAAGAGAAGGCGATCGGTACACAGAGGAGAGAGAGAGAGAGACTGCTCGATTGAAATTATAACATTGTAACTTGTTCTTTTCTTCGGATTGTGATTCCTCCTGTTCCAAAACGGAGGAAAAACCATCGTTCATCGAAACGACATCCGCAATCTTCATTTAAATCTAGATCTAGGTTAGCCGCGAAACTAGATGAAAGATTTATGTCTGTCTGCCTAGATCAAGACCTAGCCCATAGATCTAGAAGAACCTAGGTCTACCCTGAGCCAAGAGGGCGCTGAAACTCTCCGAAATCACAAAGGAGTTCCCCTGCCGGGTCTGTATACTTTGTGACTTTGTTCCCGGTTACCGGGTCTGTATACACTCCCTTTACCTAAATTCACACTTGATGTCAACCATGATGCTCTCTCTTAAAGGTTGGGGGGGGGGGGGGGGGGTTTATTATAGACTACATTTTCTTGGCCTAAAATTCACACGCTTAAATAATTTGATTGGTTAATACATTACACCACCCTAATTTGCCCAGGAATCGCCGGCTCTGTCCAGGGGTCTTTGGAAACGAAGTCTCACCTTAAAGAGAATCTGGGGCCGAGATGTTTGTTTTACATGGTTATTGCAAAATGTTTCTTCTCCTGTTTGGTACCGAAACAAAATTTTTCGGGTTAGTAGTAAATAGTATAAGAGCTGAAACGAAGTGCAGTCGCGTTTCCGACGCTTCGAATGTGTCTGGACTTCTTGGACAGCGACACAATTGTAAATGGGCTGATTCATCAAGGTCATGCTCATGACTGCAACAGGGAACTGCTGCTTTTTTTTTTCCTAATCCTTACTATCGTCATTTCTCGTCGTCTTCTTTTTAATGTTTGTCACGCTTTTGTGACCCGTAATTTCCAGTGTGCCTTGATAGTCGATGCAGACTTTTGTGTAGCAATGCCAATGAAAATTTGCTTTTTGAATTTTAAGAATCGGATCAGTTCATAGATAAAAAAGTTATTGGGTTATAAAGGTCTGCAAAATATGGTTGACCCACATACAGTGGAACTCTGATTCAACGAGGTCGCCGGGCCTGACCTAAAACCTCGTTGAATCCGAGTGTACGTTATAGCAAATATGAGGTTTTTATGTAGATTATTACAGACACTGAGCACATAATGTGTAAAGAGAAGTAACAAGTAGTGTCTGAAATGCCTGCACATTATGAACTGTAAAAAAAAAAAAGACCAATTCATTCAAATGCATGCCTGTGTCATCTTGAATGTTTTCCAAAAAATTGTGTTGCTGTGTAGAGCCTAGCACACGGCAACTTTTGATTTTCATGATTTTTTCATGCTTTATGTACAGAAAAATTGAAAACAGAACATATCAGTATGAGTAATTTGTTGCGTATTTGGAAAAGAAAACAATACACAGTTGCATCCCTGAATATAATGCTGAACTACTTTTTTATAATGAAAATGTTTGGTATCCTCCAGGGTTACTACAAGGTGTTGGGCAAAGGTCATCTTCCCAAGAGACCCGTGATTGTGAAGGCCAAGTTCTTCAGCAAAGTAGCTGAGAGGAGGATCAAGGAAGTTGGAGGCGCTTGCGTTCTGACCTCTTAAATAAAGAGTAATAATTACTATGGAATTTTGTTGTCGCGTATGTTTCACTGGTACATTGTTTTCGTTGGTTGAAAACTGATTGGTGGTTATATGCCAAACTGGTGTCTTGTGTGTATGTTGTGGTTTTGTGGGGGTCTGGTGTGGTTTGCTCTTTCTTTACTTTCAAACAACTGTCGTACTTACCTCCTCCCTCTTCTTTGCATGTTACTCGCTGCACTTATCACTAAATGGCATTGGACAGAAGGGCGAGAGCCCAGATGTTGCTGGATCGATAACAACTCGCCCGCAGCAACTATTATCATATGCGCTATGACTTTGGTGTTGCAAGTGCCATGAAACTTGAAGGCCTACTGAGCAGGGGGTCTGTACCTCCTTTCTTATCAAACATCTATCGTCCTAAGTGCCATGAAACTTGAAGGCCTACTGAGCAGGGGGTCTGTACCTCCTTTCTTATCAAACATCTATCGTCCTTAGTGCCATGAAACTTGAAGGCCTACTGAGCAGGGGGTCTGTACCTCCTTTCTTATCAAACATCTATCGTCCTAAGTGCCATGAAACTTGAATGCCTACTGAGCAGGGGGTCTGTACCTCCTTTCTTATCAAACATCTATCGTCCTAAGTGCCATGAAACTTGAATGCCTACTGAGCAGGGGGTCTGTACCTCCTTTCTTATCAAACATCTATCGTCCTAAGTGCCATGAAACTTGAATGCCTACTGAGCAGGGGGTCTGTACCTCCTTTCTTATCAAACATCTATCGTCCTAAGTGCCATGAAACTTGAAGGCCTACTGAGCAGGGGGTCTGTACCTCCTTTCTTATCAAACATCTATCGTCCTAAGTGCCATGAAACTTGAATGCCTACTGAGCAGGGGGTCTGTACCTCCTTTCTTATCAAACATCTATCGTCCTTAGCACTTGTCTTTGTTTGTGTTTTTGTCTTGTTACTCTCTTGTAAACCTCTTGTGTGGGTGGTTGGCGGGTGCTCTGGTGTGGTTTGCTTTTACTTTCCGATTGCTATCTATCGTCTTTATCTCCCCGCCTTCTTTTTTGTGTTTGTTACTCCCTTGCAACTCCTCTAATCTACTGGTGCTCATATGACCTTATGCAGTTGCGAGCGCCGTAAAACCTCTACTTAACCTTAAAAACTCAAATCTTCTGGCACTCATATGACCGTATGCTGTTGCTTTAAGGGATAGAACTTGCTCTTCTCCAATACTACAGCATACTGAACCCGCTATCTAGAACATGTGTGGTGGATTTCTCTGTAATTTAAAGAAAAAAAACTAAGGTTGGAGAGGACTTCTCTTGGAAAGTGCTGATTCGTTGAAATGTCCCAGCAGACATGTTTTTGACTCGATAGTTGGGAAATAATGGAGTATTTCTGACAGTGAGGTAACTCATGTTGGTGTTGGTCAGTAACCCTAAAAAGTTGTTTGGTTGCCCCCTTTTCTTACTGCCCATCACGTTTGTTCAAACTCGGTGAAGATTATAATACAAACCTGATTCAATTGGACCTCTACGTAGTGAACCCTTTCAAAGACCATTCGGTGGGTGCTCTGGTGTGGTCTGCTTCTTCTTTCCTATATATCAAACATCTATCGTCCTTATTTCCCCTTCTTCTTTTTTATGTATGTTACTCTCTTGTAATACCTCTAATCTTCTGGCGCTCATATGACCTTATGCGGTTGCGAGCGCCGTAAAACCTCTACTAAAACAAAACAAAGACCATTCGAATTTGCAATCAGGATAAAGTAGGCCTACCTGTACCATTATGGGAAATGAGGCAACAAATGCGACTGCACAACACACAGAGGCATCTCCTTGTTAAGCCACTCGGGGAAAATACAGTCCGTGCCGGCCTTAAGCACGTTTCTGACTCAAGTACGCTAAACGGCTCTTTCTTACCGAATTTTTGCTATATATAAATTACACGCCTATAAGCACGGTAACTTCGGCTTCAAGCACGCTTCATTTACAAGACAGTCAATATTTTCATAATGAGCCATCGAAGTTCGAACACAGTTTACACCGCAGCGGTGGAGAGTGTCAAGAGAAACACAAAGATTAAGAACGTGAGTGATGGACACACACACTCGCACGGGCGGAGAGGAAGGCAGAGAGACGCACACAGCCGTGCGCGTGGACATAGGATCTAGCCTAGGCCTAGGGCAAAGCTACACACGACAAAAAAAAAATACAAAGAGAGTCGGGGAGACGAGAAAGGGAGGCTGGCTGCGATTTCACCTTTGACCCTCGCTATCCATTAATCCTGATTGTGTATCACGCGCGAGGTGGGATGAAGGCGGTGGTACATGTATGAGTGGCACAGCGGGCAGTGATACGCACAGGCAGTGTGTTACAGTAGGCCCAGTGTGCTGTATCGTGACTGGCTGTCTAAATTAAGTTTTCATTTCCCATTCGACCACAAAACAAAAACTACCATGGCGGGTGTTTAAATAACTGCACACTTTTGCGGGACCGCTATAGGCCTACTTACAAACAAAGGGTAACAACAGCACGGGGAATTTTCTACATGAAAATCTCTGGATTATGTCTACTTCGCACTTAAGCACGCTTAATCTTAAGCTTTCTCCCGATGACCGTGCTTAAAGCCGGCATGGACTGTATACGCAAAGATACTAGAGCAGCGCACAAGACCTATTGTAGAGAGAAATCTGAGCAACGCTCAGTTAGGATTCCGAAAGGGAAGAGGATGCACGGATGCTGTATTCGCATTTTGACAGATATGCGAGAAAACAATCAAATACAACAAGGAATCCAACATCGTCTTTTTAGACCAGGAGAATGCTTTTACAGAGTAAACCATGCAAAACTGGAAGACATTAAAAAAGTATGGCGTCAGAGGACAAATGTTAGATAATGTCAGAGCTCTATACATGAATATGCCAACAGCAGAAGCTCATTAAGAATGAAGGAAGGCAATACAGACTTGTTCAAAAGTAGGGCCTACATGTAAGATCTGGAGTGCGACAGGGATGCGTTTTATCTCCCCTACTGTTTATAATAAATGGACACAATAATGCAAGACGCAAACCAAAGCCCAGAAAGCCTAAATGAATTTACGTCTTATTCATCGTGACCATATCAAAGCCTTCAAAATCACACTACATTGTAGGCCTACCAAACTCAACAACAGCTGTGACTGAGAAATTCAACTTGAAAATAAGTTTGCCTAAAACGGAAGTTATGAGAGAGAGCCGAAACCATAGTCCCCCTGAACATCCATGTCAATAATAGTAAACAACTGAAACAGGTGGAGGAGTTTAAATATCTTGGCAGCACTTTTTCTGAAAACGGTACCATAGACAGAGAAATAGAAATACGAACTCAAAAAGCCAACGCTCTGACTCACTAATCCTATCTCTGTTGTTTTATGCGCCCCGCAAAATTTAGCCAAATTTGATCATTTTAAAAATAATTTCTGATTATTTTCCTTTATTATTCTGTTAAAATTAACAGATTCGCATAATTTCACATTTTTGGGCTCATTTTGCATAATTTCAGAATTTTGTGTGTGCATAAAACTACGGGGACAGCTAATCTCACCTGTTTCTTCCATGACTTGTTTGTTTGTTACTTACATTACCGAGTACTGAGTTCGTAGTTTCATCTCTTTCGACACAGGAAGGTCATTTTATTATAAGAGACGGCCTCTCCGGCCATAAAACTCGGAAAAAATGTGGGCCCAACGAGACTTGAACCCGGGATCTCTAACATAATTTTATGAAGCATGTGTCTTACCACTACGATACAGTGACCCATGTTCTTTATTTTATAACACCCTATTGTTACACACAGGTGGTCATTACGAAGGCTAATCACTTGATCTCACGAGAGGGGGGGGGGGTCAATAAAAAGCAGAAGCTCAAGAGTATCATACTGTCGGGATTCGAACCTTTTGGCCAAAGTCCGTCAACGACGAGGCCACCCTGTTGGAATGGAACGGCTTCTTAAAAAAACAACAACCCACAGTACACGACAAAATCATGTTGGGAGGTCCTGGCCACATACATATCCCCATGTAATCATCGCATCACAGTTCCCTGACGGCATACATATCCCCATGTGATCGCATCACAGTCCCCTGGCCGCATACATATCCCCATGTAATCATCGCATCACAGTTTCCTGACGGCATACATATCCCCATGTAATCATCGCATCACAGTTCCCTGACGGCATACATATCCCCATGTAATCATCGCATCACAGTTCCCTGACGGCATACATATCCCCATGTAATCATCGCATCACAGTTCCCTGACGGCATACATATCCCCATGTGATCGCATCACAGTCCCCTGGCCGCATACATATCCCCATGTGATCGCATCACAGTTCCCTGACGGCATACATATCCCCATGTAATCATCGCATCACAGTCCCCTGACGGCATACATATCCCCATGTGATCGCATCACAGTTCCTTGGCCGCATTATGTGTCCTCGATGACCGCATAAGGTGCCCTGATCACAAACTGGTCCCTTCACATGGTAGAATGAACATCCCTCTTGGCAATATAGCCGAGAATGCTCTAGACTCTAGACCATTCACATAATTCTACATCAATTTGCATAATTCTAAGACCTGGCTTTGCATCATAATATTATGTGTAGAATTTTGTGAGACTATTCAAAGAGGTTATAAATAGAACTAGGGGTCTTATAAATAGAACTAGAGGTCTTAGCTCTGACTCTGACGTCACGAGTGTCACACTTTAGGGGCACCCCGGCTCCATTCTGGAGAGGGATAAAAAAGGCAGTCGGTGCACAACAACACTTTTCAATCATGGGTTAATGATACTATGCGAAGTCTTTTGATGTTGGTTTCTTTTTTATGTCATTTGCCTATCGCTAAAAGTTACTCACAGGGATTTTTGTGGACTGTTTGCTTTTAAATGAGCCAGATTATCTCCAAATAATGCAAATAAGGCTTTTTACATGGTGAGATCATATGCGAGAGTTAAATTCAGAAAAAAACCCCGAAAGAGATGGACTT